TGCTGCTACAATGAATACTAAAATAGTTAGCAATGGTGACCATGTAATGATGGGATTTCAATCACACAGTTTACGTCTGAGGAGTTTGCATGAATCTGAGCTTTCATTCATCTGTTTTCACGCTCAGGCAAGTTGCACTGCGTCATTTTGTATTCCAGACACAACACAAGTAGTAGATGTATTTCCCCAACCAAAAGGGGTCAGAGTGGTATGTGTTATAGGGTATACCTCTGGAGGACAGCTGTGGCACGCTGTAGTGGCCAGTCCAACCCTGTCTTGCTCACTCTAATCCCTCAGACCACCACACTATGCTCGCTTGCCATACCTTAATGTATAATTAATATCAACATGGAAGGCTAAGTTCAGAAGACCCAAAAAGAGGACATGTCTGGAAAAACCTGGATGTATGTTAATCCTACCCAGGCCCCAAACCAAATACTCCATGCCCTGCAGGCACCAATCACAGCCCTAATCATGGTCTCCAGTCTTCCACATAGCCACACCCATGTCTCACAGGTCTTACACTAATTCCATTCACTTGCTTAGGTATCAGCCCACTCAGCCTTAGCCCCTTTAGCCTCAGCCCACCAAGCACTCTTGTTCTAGCTTGACCTGGCACTCTAGCCTTGGCCCACCAAGCTCTAAGCCCACACTTCCCCCAGCACTGGACCTCCTCAGTCCCCACAGACATTGCTGGACCCTCAGCCCACAGCCCTCAATATAGAATGCCTTGCTAGCTCTTCTCTGTGGCCTCCATCCACCCCTGTAGCTACAACCCAAGTCCCTGATATAAGCACGAACTCCAGAGACAAACAGCTATAACAGAAAAACACTTATTTCCGAGATGCTGAGCAGCACTCCTTTCTCTAGCAGAATCAGGGCCAACCTGAACTCTTAGCCCTGTGCCTGGGCCTCTGTTGCCCTGCATTCTTCCCCTTGCAGTCATCTAACCTGGCTCACTGGAAACCATGGCCCAGAAGCTACCTATTATCCCAGTCAGCAGCAAGGGCTCTCCATCCCCTCATTAGCTGCTCAAAGCCTGCAGGTCATTTTCCCGCAAGCTGTATTCCCTCTTGCTTGCTTTCTGCAATGCTGTTCTCTGTCCCTTCCAGTAGTCAGGAGGGGCCTCTGTTACTTTACTCTTTCAAGAACTAGAAATAAGTTCTGGAACTGGGGTCTGTGACATACACAGCTTCAGGATTGGGGAGGTATGCTGGACACTGCTCACTGAGTACAAAGAGAGGGGACCACCCTGCTAGATTCCAGGGCTATTTTAGAGGGCTGTGAGCAGGTTATGATGAAAAACTAAATGGCTCAAAAGGAGCATTTTTGAGGTGGGGGGAAAGGGGCTAACTTGTTTGTTTACTTCATGATCAGTTGGGCTCGCTGCCTTCAGCATCGCTTTGTTTCCAGCTTTGTTTTTCCTAAGATGCCTGGGAGCATCCATGCTGGGGCACCTCCAATTGCACCATCACTCTAATAACAGTGTCAGCCACTCAATCCTGTTGTCACTTGCCAGGTGCCTGGCTTCTGTGGCAGTGACAAGGGCCTCAGCCAATGCGTGGCTCTGTACACGTGGCCTCCACAGGACTCTCAGTGTAGCTATCAGGGCTTTCCAGCTCATTACATTTCAATGGCCTGTTTTAAAGATATCCAGACAAACAAGCAAACACATGCAGCCAGAAGGAAAGTGGAGAAAGAAGCTGGGTCCACAGAATAGCCCTTTACTCACAGATGTGATGCTTGGAGATTAATTTAGTTTAAGGCTTTACTTCATTCTGAAATGAGCACAAATTCCTGGTTACAACAGCCCAAAACGCAGGCAAATCTCTTCAGTAAGCTCCTTGGGCTGGAGAGGGAGACAGACATTGCCAGTTCCATCCTCATGCCTGCAATATATGTGGCAGCATCCACCTGAGCTCCCTTCTCGGAAAGCCAGTCTCAAGGTAAGACCTTTTGTGCTGTTATCAGCTAAAGAAGGTGGGGAGAAGATACAAATCTTGGACTGCTCAGGAAAGAGCTTCCAGATGAAGAGGAAGCTGCAGTTGATCCACCCCATCCCTCTTGTAAAGTGCTCCCTGACTTGGTTAAGGTCAGTCCAGGGTTTAGTGAAACTACCAACTCAAGGCCAAGTTCAAAAAACAATAGAACAGCACTCCTTTGTGTGGCAAGTGCCTGCACTCCCTGCCTAGTCCCTCTGGCTGAGGCAGGTGTCACTGGGATCACATCTCATGGTTTCTGTGAAGAGAGAGGGATATGTCAGTAGTTCAGACCTGAGCTGGTGACCTAGGAGACCTGGGTTCAATGTCCTGTTCTGCCACTGATTGCCCACCTGACCTTGGGCAAATCACTTGAAGTCAATGGGAGTAAAGAGTATAAATACCTTTCAGGATCTGGGCTTTATATTCTCCATGCCTTAGTTCCTCAGAGTGGGGATGACAGCACTTGTGTACCTCATGGGCATTACGAGGTGCATAGATACAACAGGAAAAGGCCTGCTGAGTGCCTGAGCTAGCTAGATGGGCAGACATCCTACTGTTTGGAATAAAAGAACCTGAGGTTTTAATACATACAGTTAATGATTTTGTGGCTCTATTTAGCTACCAGGCTTTTGTTATTCTAAAACAAGCTATTAAATACCTATATGTGACACAGCAACTGCCCTGGTTACTTCTGACATCGCAGCATCCCTTCATAGTGGGACTTACTGTCCCCTAATGAAGGCAAAACTCCCCTCAGTTTCAGTGTGAGCAAGACCAAGCACAGTGACTGCTCTAGAGCAGCAGCTAATGGTAGAGGTCAGGTGTGTGAGCATCTGCAGAAACAGGTGAAGGGAATGGAGGGATGAGCACAGCCTGGTTTTGAGCAGGGATAAGCACAACCCATAGGTTGAGAAATGCTGCTCTAAAACAGTGTTTCCCAACCTTTTCCATCCCAAGGCACACTTACATTAACAATTTTTTTCCTCAGCACACCTGTTAAGGCATTGGCCATCCCCATACTTATGAGCTCATTGTAGCTCATTGCCATGCCAAATTCTGCAGCACACCTGTTCATTTCTGATGACACACCATTGTGCTGTGACACACCAGTTGGGAAACACTGCTCTAGAACTTGCATGTGGATTTAAAAACAAAGCCCTGTGTGGAATAAATCTGTCACAACATTATACTGGGACCTAGCAACAGCCTGGCTAGATCATGGAAGCTGCTGCTCTTCTGTGTGCAAACAGATTGTAGGGTGAGGTTCATTTTAACACTGTACTGCAGGAAACAAATATGGATCTGGAGTGCAGGCTCTTTCTGGCAGGGGTGATACTGTCTCTGGAGGCAGGCGCATTGTGGGCACAGCTGGAGTCAGCAGTAACTACAGTAATGCACTTGGCTCCGTGCTAAATGGCTTCTTGCAGCACAGTAGCATAACTACAGAAGGGCTAATTAGGTACAAGCCTCAGCTGCTACCTAAGGAGGGGCCACCAACATGGAGCTAGAGGGGCACCTTAGTCTCCCATCTGGCTCCTCCCTCTCCCTCACATACCTACTTTTCACCTTCTCCACAGCTGATCCACCTGGAGCAACAGGGAGAGCAGAGAAGCAGCAGCAGTATGCAATCTTTGATTCACTGCTGCAGATAGAGTTGCCCTCTTATTTTTTGCTACCAAGCAGTGTTTTGCTGGCCAATTGCAATGCATGTCAGCAGCAAAAAAGGTGACATCTGTTCCAGCAGCTGTAAGCCTTTGGCCACTGCTTTTGTACCCTACGCTGCCTGCACCCTGGGTGCAGAACCAGCCAGCAGTAACTTATCTAAGATGCTTCCCTAGGCAGTATTCTGTCAGAGAAAGAGGTCAGGTATGCATCCCTTATGCTTATGTTCAGCTCACCCTGTGGGGGCTTTGTATTGGGTCTTAGGTGAGTCACAGGAGCTTGACTAGGCAGACTGCAAAGATCCTGGTGTGTGCAGTGGGAGTGGGAAATGCTGGGCCTTTATTAGTCTAACACTCAATAACATTTAAAGGAAGGAAGGAAGGAAAATGTGGGAAGCAGAATGTGGTAGAAGAATGATTTTTTCTAGAGAAGAACAGAAATTGGGTGACTGAGCTCTACGTGCGTGTATGGGTGAGAGAGAACTGATGTGGCATTTTTCCTAGATATTATGTGTGTGTGAGGAGGTATGGTAGATATGTGACTTTATTAACTAAGTAAATAAGATAGAGAGAGAGCACAAGCTTTCATGAACCCAAGTTCACTTTCACAGATGCTGTGAAAGGACAGCATAAAGCAGAGGATAAATTAGAGAGTGATTAGAATTCAGTAGGTAGGGAAGCAGGAGGGAGGGCGAGTGCTGTGAGAGGCATATAAGTAAAGAACCCCTGGGAACAAAGGGGTCACGACAGCTAATGAGATTAGAAGCCATAGTCCCTGTTCAAACCATAGTTAACAGTCCAGTTTGTGGATGATTTATTGTTCCATTCTAACTGGTTTTTAATTTTTTTTTTTTCCTGCCCAAGAACAGCAATCCTGAGGTCAGTGATGAAGTGCCCCGAGAGGCTGAGGTCTTCTGCCACAGGCTTTTGTGCCTTTCTAAAGTTCATGTCAGATCAGTCTTCATTCATTTTTACATGTAGAGATCACCTTGTTTATCAAAAGTAGACAGCAGAGGGGCACTGTAAGCAGGTGATGACATTGGTTAGAGTTCCAGGTGAATGAACATTGGCTGCTGTACTCTTTGCTATTTGGTTCAGTGATAATACAATCTGTATTAATGTGGGGGCATGGCAGACATTTGGATCAATTGCAAGGTCTGCTGCCTCAGTGAGAATGGGAGTTAGTCTGTTACTTGAGAGGTGTTTTTGAGGCTGGGAGGAGAAGGGAAGATGCTGCCTATAGGCCAGGACAGGTTTGTTCCCAGTAGCTACCTTGAGGCAGTCATCCTTTTCCAGGAGGGGTTGGAGATCATTAATGATGTGTCTAAGTCAGGGGTGGGCAAAATACAACCTGTAGGCTGGATCCAGCCTACAGGTTAAAGATTTTGTCTGACCTGCAGCAGGTTCCTTGGTCCCACCTGGCCCAGGTGCCATCTGGCCCATGGCGCATCCTGCCACTCCCGGGAACACAGCCTGGCTGGGGTGGCTCCACAGCTGGACACAATTTCTCAGCATCCCCAGTGGCGACGGCTTCTTCTGGGTGCTGCTGCTGCAGCCACCACTGGCTCCAGCTCCCTAGAGACCGGCCAGGACCTGTGAGAGCAGGGCCCAAGCCCCAGGCTGAGCTGCAGCTCTAGCCCTGGCCTCAGTCCACTTCACCCTATGCAGGAGATTGGGGTGCCTGCAGAACCCGCTCCAGACTTGCCTACCGCAGCCACAATGAGCAGCTGCAGCTAGGCAGAAGCTGCTGCTGCCGAGTGCCAGGAAAAATCGGGACCTGGTGGCAGATGTACCCACCTCCCCCTTGCAACTGCTGGGGCTTTCTCACTGTGGCCACCTGGAACCCATGCTACGGCTGCCTTGCAGCTCCTCCCTGCCACTTCTGCCTGGCTGCCACTGCCTCTGCATCAGGGTTGCTGACACTAAGGTTGGGCAGCAGACCCAGCCCCTCCTCAGGGTAGAAGGGCGGTGCTGGTGATGGCGGGGGCCCTGGCTGAGCTGCCCCTGCTGAAGCTGCCCCCCTCCCGAACCCATGCCAGCTCCCTGCCCACAGCCCTGTCCCACATGGGGAGGTTTGGTGAGCTGTTGCATGGGCAAGGGTGGCAGGGTGCTCACCTGGCCTGTAGCTTACTGCTACATCAGGAGAGTACATCAAGAACTTGGTGAACAGCTGTTCACCAGGGCACCCCTTGGGAAGACCAGGAGCAATGGATACAAACTCCTGGAAAGCCACTTCAAGCTCAATTCCAGGAAAAACTCGTTCACAGTCAAGGTGTCCAGACTGTGGAATAAACTCCTTCCAGTGGTGATGCAGTTGCCTACCCTGGAAAGCTTCAAAAGAAGACTGGATAGTCCCCTTGCTGAGGTCACTTGACCCCAGTTGTCTTTTCCTGCCTGGTACAGGAGGACTGGACCTGATGATCTACAAGGTCCCTTTCAGCCCCTAACAATCTATGAATTTATGAACAACTCCCCAGATCTCCCTACTGTCACAACCCAAAGGGTGTGATTTTTGTTTTTGTGTGCTTCGGCACTGCTAAATTGTTCCCGCTAAATTATAGCTTCTTTGCACGGTGGAGTTTTCTGCTGCAAAAGAGAACCCCGGTGCAAGGGAGAATTTCCCGCCAATTTGAAGCTTTCTTTGCAGGGTGCATTTCTTTGTTGCAGCACAGAAATGCTCGTTGCAAAGAGTTCCC